AGGTCAATCTAGCTAACCTACAGAGGATTCTAAATTGAACCCTTTATTTAATTTATAGGGGTAGACTGTTCTCATTCCACTGCCCACATCTAGGTATATCTCGCCTAGTTATTATTTTTAGTACTGCTTAGTTATTGAGTGCCCCTGGGCCAGGCAGTGTGTACTTGAACTCCATGGAAACTGGGCAAGCAATAACTGAAATTAACTAAAAATAAGAACTAAATATTCTTAGATATGAGCAGTAGAATGAGAATAATTTACACCTGTAAATTAAATAAAGGCAATTACCCTTAGGTTACCCTGATCAACATATACCTGATGATGGCCAGAGCACAATGACTGAAACATTGTGATAGCAACAAAAACAAATGAGGACAATAGTCTGCATATAAATAGTGTAAACTAGTTAGTTTATAACAAATGCTAAGTACTGACATTTCATGGTGTCTTGAAAAAACACATGTATCAACAGCAGACAATGTAAATTTCATAGACAAACACAGTAATATCTTGAGATACAATTGTACCAACATACAAGGTTTTTGAGATATGACCCGATGTTTGACAGATTTTTTTGTTTTGAGATAGCTGCATATGATTTCACTTGAGGTAAAGTGGGAAATTATAAAAAAACATGAAGACGTACAAGTAATGGATTTGATGAGACAGTATGAGCGTTCCACATCGATGATAAATTAAAAAAATTATGAAATTTTAAAAAAATTAGTTACAGTAATGGATAAAATGTAAATGTTTTAAAAAATTTTTAAAATAAGTGATAAAGTTAATCTTTGGTACCGTAGACCAGGTTAGCGGTTGCTACGCTAGCTGTTGTTGTCCCTCTCTCTCATCAACCAGTTGGCCGATGACTTGTCAGAACTTCATGGTTTAGTATAATTCATTTCTTTACAATTTGTTTTTCTTTTATTTTATTGTTTATAAACTACATTTCTTGTTTATTTACATGTTTTTGCTTGTAAGAAACCCACAAATACAAAAATAGGGGTGAGTTTTAGGAAAATAAGGGTGATTTTTTTTAGGGGTTTGGCACGGATTGGGAATATTCCCATTAATTTCAATGGGGAAAATTGATTTGAGATACAAGTTTTTGAGTTATGAGTTCAGTCTTGGAATGAATTAAACTCGTATCTCAAGGCATTACTGTATGCTCACAGCAGTAAAAGTGTTAACTGGTAAAATAATTAATCTCACAATGCTAACAAAATCAATAACATTCCTGGATCTACCTCAAAATTTAATTAATTGTTCCATAAAATGTCACGGAAATTCATTGAGAACTTTTGGCAATATTTTGTGGACATACAGACAGACAGACAAGAATGAGTGAACAACAACCTTTGTCTAACTTCATTGGCAACTAAAATTTGGACAATCATGGAAAATCAAAAATTAACATTTTGAGGTGTGTTTATCATTATTTACTGGCCCATTTCTGAAATGTTATTAGATATGGTGAAAAATGGATCCCTTTTTTCTCTTTTCTTTTCTTTTTTTTAAATCATTTCAACCCCAGTAAGGCAATAAAGTCACTAAGATACAATGGGTTACTGAGTGTGAGAGAATATGAGCAAAAAAATTTATTTTTAGGAGGGAGAATAATAAAAGAATAGGAATTAAAAAGACAGAAGATAACGATTAACACTGCATATTTACAACAGTACAACAATCATAATTGCATATTTTGATTAAAATCATTTTCTTCATTTCTTTAGAGTGTTTTAAATGCTGGCTTATAATAAAACCAGATTTTTGGATATCTAGATATTTTGCTCCAAATGAAACATGCCTACTGATCTTGATAGAACCTAACAGTATTGACTATCAAGAACATGGTCTCCTTAGAATTTTCTGGCATATTTTGTCAAAGCAAATTTCATTTGCTTACTTTCCTGAGCAATCATAATAATTGTATGAAGATGAACACAACTTGAGCACCTCTTGATGAAGAAATTTGGGCAATGTTTAATCTTTGTACCCACAAAATAATGACGTGTCAAAAGGACAATTTTTCCCTTAATACCACTATTATTTTAACTACCTTCACTCCTCAGCAATGATTATTGTTTTTAAAAGCAATGATTAGAATTGTAATAAAACCTATACATATGATATATATATATATAATTCCAAAGAAATAAAATCTTGTAGCAGTCTAAATGTGTTCCACAGCCATAGTTTGAAACCCCTTGGTCTAAGAGCATCAGTAAGCAATACAAAATAAAGAATATGTGTTTGTCAAGACTCACTCATAATTGCTGAGAACTTATTTATTTCTGATCTTTGCCATTTACTAATGGCCTGAGTAATTGCAATAAAAAGCAAGTAAAATTAAAATAAATGAAATGCTAATCAAAAATTAATTATGGTAGACAATGTTTTATTTTGTAAAAACATAAAATCATGTTATTATTACTAATACCACAAATGTACATGAAGCAACAAATATGGTGATCAGGAACAAAAATGAATAAGTCAATACAATTAGATTTGATCTACCAACCATAAACTTTTCTTATCACAAGCAACAGAGCAACTGATATAGTTAACCAGGCTTAAAGGAGTGCAGGTTCAAGTCTTGCTAAGAGTTTATTCTTTATTTATAATCTGCACTTTTTTTGCTGACAGATTTGAAATTTCAAGTTTTTACTCTTTAGTTTGTGATTATGAGTCAAATTATATAAATAATGGAATGTTAGTTTAGGGGGTTCCTTTATAGCTAAAAAGTCATAGCTTAGTACATTTTGTAATTCAGAATGATTAAGTAATACAGAAATGTACTAAGCTTTCGTGTCTCCACTGAGGGTTAAACTCACAAGCAATACTCATAATCTAACCATCATCCGTGGAAAGATGTCCTTGTAGACAATGCAATTGTGTTAATGCTATTTCATTCATTTTTATGCTTTTGGGTTTTTTTTATTTTTTTCAGGTAACATAACTGCTATCATCACAGAAAGAGAAATCATCAAGCTGAATTCAAATACTGACCAAGTCAATTATATTCACTTTTGCACAACTACCATTGGAAAAAAGTATGAATACATTTCTTCTATGGGTTAAATAGAGGGGTAGTTACTGTTGGGGATGTACAGAATAAACTAATGAACTTGGGTTAGCATTGAGATGAATCAGAAGGAAATTTTATGTGAGGTTGTGTGAACTTTTCTGCATCCACAAATAAACAATTTCTATATAAACAAGACAAAACATACATTCAATTCAACACCAATGAAAGCATTTATATACAAATACGATAATATATACAGGGTATTTTTAAGGTTGTTAATGTGTTGGTGTGCTAGTGATATATGTAGTTTTTGTATGTCCTTTTTATGTCTTGTGCATTAACGTTACAGTCTTTTAGGAAATTGTAATGAATATTTGGAATGTAGTTAATATGTTTTAGAAATGAGTCATTATGAAGTGGTCTACCTTTGACTGCAAAATGTCGAGATCATTCGATGATGTTACTTACTTAGAATAATAGTGAATGTCAATTCACTTTTGATAAGTAAAGTAATTCAGATAGAAGTTTTGTGTGTTCACAGAGTGTTCTTCGATTTGAGCTTGCGGGTGAGTCAGTGATGATTTAGCTGCGCGTTAGTTTGCGTGTTAATATGTGTGTTAATTTGCACGGCAAAATTGCAGTTGCAAGTGACATGGATTATATTAGCATATCTCTGACTGATTGTCTTATCATAATGATCAAAGAGAATGTATAGTTTGAGATTCTTGAATGACAAAGAAGTTCATAGAAGATATTGAACTGGAAGGATTTGTCGTCTCGATTAGCGAGACAGTAATCATCACATTTTTAAGCTTGAGTAAGCAGTCAAAAAATGGTCTGCTGCTGATCTGCCTAGGTCTGCATCTGCCTCTGCGTCTTGTGGTCACACGTGCTTTGAGTTCCTTTTAAGAGGTCATGATCACGTGGGGTAGCTCCAGAGCGATTTTGCGCCAAAACTTCGAAGTGCATGTGTGGGCGACCTGATTGATAGAAATGAACCAATCAGAGGGCTAGATTTACGAATGAAAGTTGGAATAGTGCATTACTCGAAGAAGGTAAGATTGGGCTAATAGACGAGCCCAATACTACCCTTCTATTTAATAACCTTGGGTGGCTGTCAATCTTGGAGAATAACTACTCTAAATTCAAAACTGTGGAGAAGGCAATGGGATTCCACTTCACTGTTTTTCCCAAGAAGTCACGTGAATTCAAGGACAATAAAGAAAAGGAATCAGTGAAGAGCCATGATCACTTACACCCTGACAGGAGATGATATTTAGAAAATGTGCTAGCATCATAACAATAACAGATATTTTAGTTTTGGCCTTGTGTCAGATTAGGTCAATGAGAGTAGGAAGATTGTGTTGTGCCAATCTACCAAATGGAGATGGTTTACCAGCCATGAAAATCAGCATTAAAAACCCTAATTTTTACATAGGCTCAAATACCAACAGTAGGTTTTAAAACTACAATAACCTCAGCCACAAGACAACTCAGACCTCCTTGATTATATTTACTAAGCTTAGTTTAGTATAGCTCAAGGGTAATTGGTAGAATAAAAAGAGGTAGATGAGGTGGGGGTGGAGAAACCTGGGTTTGTACACTAATTAATGCCTAACTAACACTATGTCAACTAGAACTCACATTAGGCCACTTTGAAAGTAGGAGATTGTCCTTCACCAATCATCCAAGTTGTTGTGGTTGTATGTTTGATTAACTGATTTGCTTTTTACAGCTTATTAACATTTTGCAGGTTATTTATAGCCAGGAAATATTTTTGGACTCTAAGATTTTGGGGGAGATAATAATGATTTACTGTTTAATTCATAGCCAGGGAGGAGAAGAGGTGAATTCATACCTTTCCTAAGGGTATTTGCACGTAAGTGAATATAACATACTTGACTGGAATTGGAACTTGGCTCTCCAATTTCCAATTGCCAGTTGTTATCCATTACACCACTGTGCATCCAAGCTTACAACACATGATATATCCAAGTGGTCACCCATCTAGGTACTAACCAGGTTCAATGTTGCTTAACTTCATTGATCAGATGAGAACTGGTGTTTCAATGTGATATGACTGTAAGTCTTGCGATGGTAGGCGGTTACCTGACTTGAAAATCAGCATTGGAAATCCTAGCTTCTTAACTAGGCTTAAATACCAATCTGTGAAACCAGCCAAGAGTAAATATACACTACCTTAACCACAATGCATATCGTTCTGCCTTAATATTTACCAAGCTTATTACCAAGTATGGCACAAGGCCAAATGGTGAAAGGAGAAACATAGTGAGAAATAACTTAATTCTCTAACTTATGAGGTAATCTCATAATAATAAAATAAAACTAATGACTCCATTTCAAATGCAAAATCTATATTTTTGTTTTATGCTTGTCTACAATTAGATTTTCTAGAAATTATATTATAATTCTGCTTATTCTTGAGTTAGAGCTTACATTATTCCCTGCCATTACCTCAGATAAACAATAGACTATTACTGTGTGATTGCAAAGATAGTTTTTTTTTTATCTTTTTACTCCAAGCAAAGTGATAATACCATTAAGACGCAAGGGGTTACTGGGAGTGGAAGAGAATGAGAAGACTTTAGTGAGGAAAAAGGACAATAAAAGAACAGAACTCAGGAAGACAGAAGATGGAAATTGATGCTGAATTTAAATTTTTGAAGATAAATGGCAAGGAGGCAAGAATCTGGAAGAGAGTTCCAGAGGTGAGAAGTACGGAAAAAGAAACTATTGGAATAGAACTTATGGTTACATCTAGCAATTTTAATAGTAAAATGATGAAAGATAAGATATATACCTAAGGCACTGTTTAGTTTTTACAAAAAGAAAGAAAGAAAGGAAAGATTGAGGAGCCAATAACACTCTCACGTGTTTAATGCAGTGATTCTCAACCACTGTGCCATGGCACACTAGTGTGCTGTGAAAATTAAACATTCAAAATAAAACACGTTATCAATGTACCCATTGATACATTTTGGATTTCAATAGAAAAGGAATATCCCACATTAGCTAAAAAGGCTTTATCAATTTTATTGCAATTTTCTACTTCTTATTTATGTGAATTATGCTTCTAAAACTTAAATAACATCAAAAATAAGAAAGCAGAAAGGCTACACTCAACTGAAGAAGAAACAGGGTTTTGCTTATTGCACATTCAACCAAACATTGACTATATTGCAAAAAAACACCAGACAAAGGTTTCACACTAAATAAGCTGCACAAATAGTTGAATAGAAACATTGAAATAAAGTTCATATTTGTGTGTGTAGTTTTTAGAAAATCTATGGTTTTATTTTATAATATTTAAATGTATACCCTTTAAAAATTTTGCTAAGTGTGCTGTGATATTTTCATTTGCCCCTTAGTGTGCCATTGTTTAAAAATGTTGTGAATGTCTGCTTCAGTGAAATGAGTAGCCTTGTCAATTTTTAATTTTTCATTTGTACCCTCTTACTTCTTTCAATAATAACCTGTATTCATACTTATGATTATTATTGCAATATTTTGTTGAAGTTGTTAAGCTTAAATATTTAATGAGACAATAGGAGAATTTCCATAGGTATATATAGTTGTGGAACCTACAAATAGCTTATTCCATCATTAGATTAAGAATTAAGATTCATCAGCAAATTCAAAAGAAAACCGTGAAATATTCACAAGTATTGCTAGTTTTTTTAATTCTTCTCTTTCTATGCGCCATATCCCTTCAAGATGGGAGTGATCATAGCTCTCCACAATTTCCTATCCTCTGTAGCCCTTAGTAATATTTGTTTATTTAATATCCTTCTCACTCCCATTTCATTCACATAAGCTTGTCAAGTAGGTGACCTGCTGCCTTCCATTATCCTATTGCCTTCCTGTCCTGTGAGTATCAAATTTTCCAAACTCTCCTTCCTCATAATGTATCCCAGAAATTTCAACTATATCTTCGCAAGTATAAGTGTCCTTTTTGTTTCCATTTTCCTTAAAAATTTTCTCTTTGCTTACACACTCCATTCCTGGTAGTACTATATCTCTGTTGCCTCCTGCCTTTTCTTCATCCTTGAGAAAATTTTCCAGTATCCACTGTCATATAGGATGATTAATATTGCATAGCACTTAAGCACTTTTTTCTTTGTTTTGTCATGTCCATAAAGAAATACATAAATAGAATATTAATTATACTGTCACTGTGTCATGTCCATAAAAAAGTAAATAAATAAAAATTAATTTTAGTATCAAAAATAATTATAATAAAATAATTATAACAATTATAATTATCATTAATTCACTTATTCTAAACCAATCAGAACTGACCCCACTTTTCTCCTCTACACATACAAACACATGACATCCTCACTATCGGATTAGTAGTTTACATAAATTTCATCTCCTTTTCCTTTTTCATACCATAATAGTAGCATTTATCTATTAGCACTAAACAAAAACTTGAGATAAGAAAACTCTAGACATATATTTTTTCAACTAAATTATCACGACACTCATTATACACATCTATAAGAAAAATATATAAGAAAGCTTATTTGTTATCTTATCCTTCTGTCAGATTCCGATCCATATTTGATCTACATTTGACCACAAACTCACAATTGTACTTAGTATTACTGTCTCTCATGTTTCCAACACCAGAATACAACCCAGTAATAATAATAATTATTTTGTTGTTTCCACATATTGCTGTTTCTCATTTTTACAAGTATTTTTGTATATATAAATTGTAAGGGGTTTATAATTATTTACTCAGAGTTTATAAATCCTTCTACAATTTCTTTGGTCTAAAATCATTAGATGTGAGCAAAAGTTCCTAGTATTCTTTTTCTTAAAAAAGACAGAAACTGAATATGCAGTTGAAAACTGGTTTTTCACTAAAAACTTTTATGCATACATAATATTTGATATACATTTTTAGTAAGGTTCAATCTATTTTGAAAAAAAAAGCCCAAAAGAATCCAAGTATGATTCTTTTTTTTTTTTTTTTTTATGTAAAACTCTCATTTCGAAGAAAAACTAGCAATGGAGCTAGAGATTTTGGTTGCATTATATGCAGAGAACAATAATATGCAGGCTCTGGTCTCCCTTTTGTATTCCTTATCACAACTGCATGGCATGGAATACACAAAGATCTTGGCCATGTTTTCTTACAAGGGGTGGAGGGCTTGGTTCAGGGGAGAGATCCTCAAAGGATTAAACTGCCTTTGAATACTAGACTGTGACAGATATTTATTTTAGTGTTGTCCTTGACTCTTCTGTCCCTGTTCATGGAAGCTGAAGTTATGCTTCCAGGATAGTTGTTATACTGAAGGATGGTTTTAGTGCTGATCATCTCCTGTTGAGAATTTTGCTTGATGTCTGTTAAAGGAGGTAGATAGTGTAGCACTAATCTTCCAAATAAGTAGCTGGCTTTTACTTGGGCTTGTGCACTATGGGGATTACCTCTACCTCATCTATCAGGAGGCTGCTAGATGATGCTGTTTCAGGACTATTAAAGAAAGAACATTAACCTCTCTTTCTCCTGCCATTTTCTGCTCAAGATGTAGTAAACTAGGATTTTATAAAAATTAGAGTTCTTGCTACAATAAAATCCACAATCTGAACAGCATTTATTCATTTCTGTCCACACAGACATACATTTTTCTTGGCTAAGATCCTTTTCTGTGTCTAGTCAACTAATATGCATCATTACAGGACTTTCCAGTTTAGATGTAGATGAAATCAGAAACTTTGGGCACTCAACTTTCATACTTCTCTCTATTTGTTGCATCTTATTAAGACAGAAAAAACAAAATGGTTTTTAGCTATTGAAATTAAAGTTCTATGCTAACAGTTTCTTATCTCACACTTCCCACTTGTAAACCTTATTAGAATTTAATTTGAGAACCACTTCTACAATGTTCACATTCTAGCCTCTTTTCTAATCCTTAACGCAACTTTTTTCCCCCACTATCAAATACGGCTCCCAAAGCCTTGATCCTTATCAGAGATAAGAATATATTTTCTGATGAACAAGAGAGCTGGAAAATACAAAAAGGAATTTGACCACCATTACACTGACCATGGTGCCATAAAGTCTGGGGGTAATGCCCACAACTTGTCAGACCCTTGCTTCCAAAAAGCAGCTCCCAAAATCTTGATTCTTATCTCAGATAAGAATATATTTTCTGACAAATGAGAGGGCCAGTGAAAGTGTATAGCAATTTTGGAGGAAAAATTTCCCAATATTTCTGAACCTTGTAATCTCCATAAATACAGAGATTATGCACCTCTTTGGCAGTTACTTGACAGCAACATCAGGTCAGTGATAGAACACCAGTCATCTTCGGAACCTCTTTAAAGAAAGAGATCTACCTGCTAGGCTGTAAAGACAGAATGTCAGAACTGCTTCTTTGCATCTAGAAATTCTTGTCGCCAGCCTATGAACTTACTCAACTACAAAATTCGGATCTTCTGACAGTTTCCTCCTCAACAAGAGCTCTGAAGAAATCTGTGTGAGTGTTACTGTTAACCCTTAAGAATGATTTACTCACTTAAAGAACTTCTAGGTGTTCAGAGAAATATTTTGAGCAAGCCTTTTTTTGAACATTTTTTCTTCCTTTAAGTTAAAGGAATTTTATTCTCTCTTTCTTTCTCTTGTATTTGTGTATATCCTTTTACCTTTTTTGTGTATGTAAATAGACATTTTCTTCTTTTATTGTTACACCCGGAGCAGGAGTTTGAGTCTTCATTATTCTGCCTAAAAGAGAGAATTGTCTGCTCTAATCTTTCAAGCTGTTGTTGCTTTTATCAATTCTGTCACATTTAACATTAACCCTTTCATGTGGGAAAGCCGAGACAAATTTCCCACAACCTCTCTTCTAACTTCTTGCTTTCCTGTCAACTACAATCTTCAAAATATTTAAATGTTGCTTCAATCATCATTTTTCGCTCCTTGAATCCTGTCTTTTTATTGTTTGCTTTTCTCAATAATCTTTTTCTGAAATCCTTTTACTTTATTGCCATTTGGCATGAAATGATTATTTTAAAAAAGAAAAAGGCTAGGTTCCAATACTTCTGACAGATTTAT